CTGACATGCGCATACTTGACGGAGGCCAACGGTGCACGTGCTACACGTGACGTTTCAGCGTTAAATTTTACCTCATTTCCTCAACTCGAAAACGTTGAGGGTAAAAATCCATGTATTATAATATGAAGGGTAAAAACCCTAAAAGTCGAAAAGTTAAGGGGCAAACGGTACCTTTTGCCCCCACAATATATACCATAATAAATAAGCCGCTCCTTTGGACACGAGCTTTCACATCCATTTAAAATTTATACTATTTATTATTTTTAAAATTATAATGTGAGGTAAGAGATAAAGAATTTCCTACAATATTATTATATTTTAAATTTTAATTATTATTAAAATATTAATTACACCTAATAATTATCGAGCCCTACTTGCAAAATCCATACTGCATCAGAACTTATTATAAATCAGGATACAACAACGGCTGTATCACAGCCATTGAGGCCATGGGTCCTCTCACAGTTTCCCACAAGCCCCATGCTGTCTGCGTACCATACCCCGCCCAAGGCCATGTGAACCCCATGATGAAATTGGCCAAACTCCTCTATTCCAAAGGCTTCCACATAACCTTCGTCAACACAGAGTTCAATCACCAGCGCCTCCTCAAATCCAGAGGTCTCAACGCCCTTGACGGCTTACGGTACTTCCGATTTGAAACCATTCCCGACGGCCTTCCTCCGCCTGAAATCGAAGGCACACAAGACATACCTGCCCTTTGTGATTCCACAAGCAAGAACTGTTTAGCTCCGTTTAGGGAGCTTCTTGCCAGACTCAATTCTTCCGAACGATGCCCGCCGGTGACATGCATAATCTCGGATGGGGTCATGTCCTTCACTCTAGATGCTGCAGAGGAACTTGGGATCCCTGATGTGTTGTTCTGGACAACCAGTGCTTGTGGCCTCTTGGGCTATGTTCACTATGCATCTCTTATTGATAGAGGTCTTTTCCCATTAAAAGGTAAATGCTTTATGTTCTTTTGTAGTTCTATGATAGCAGCAATTCAAACTCAAGACCTCCAATTCTATATATTACATATTGAACGCGATGTACTTTATATGCAGACGAGAGCGATTTAACTAATGGCTATTTGGACATGGTTGCTGATTGGATTCCTGGAATGAAGAACATGATCCGGCTAAGAGATCTCCCTAGTTTTATCCGAACGACAGATAGAGATGATTTAATGGTACATTTCTTGAAAAGAGAGAGCAAAAGAGCTCGGAGAGCTTCCGCCATTGTCTTGAATACTTTCGATGAGCTGGAGCATGATGTTGTCGTTGACCTTGCATCCTTACTTCCTTCCGTTTACACCATTGGCCCCCTTCATTTGCTTGTTAATCAGATCCCACATTCACCTTTAAGTTCCATAGAATCAAATCTATGGAAAGATGAACCCGAGTGCCTCCAGTGGCTCAACTCGAAGGATCCTAAATCTGTAGTTTATGTGAACTTCGGCAGCATCACGGTTGTGACCGCGCAACAACTAGTGGAGTTTGCTTGGGGATTGGCTAACAGCAAGCAGAGTTTCCTGTGGATAATCAGGCCTGACTTGGTGAGAGGTGATTCAGCCATGTTACCACCTGAGTTCCTTGAGGAAACTAAAGACAGAAGCATGATGGCGAGCTGGTGCCCACAAGAGCAAGTGCTGAAACACCCTGCCGTTGGAGGGTTCTTAACGCACAGTGGCTGGAACTCAACCATTGAAAGCATCAGCTGCAGTGTGCCAATGGTGTGTTGGCCGTTCTTCGCGGAGCAGCCAACGAATTGTAGGTATGCTTTCATTGAATGGGGAAATGGCATGGAGATTGATAATAATGTTAAGAGAGATGAAGTGGAGAAGCTCGTTAGAGAGTTGATGGAAGGCGAAAAGGGTGGAGAGATGAGGAAGAAAGCCGCAGAGTGGAAGAGGAAGGCGGAAGAAGCCGCAAGTACAGATGGCTCCTCGTTCTTGAATTTGGACAAGATGATCAATGAGGTCTTGCTCAAAGGAAAAGGAAACTAATTCTTCAAAGAAAATGTATCATGGTTTCTATAATTATTGGGCTTAATTTCATGAATAAAACTGGGGAATCAATGATGCATCATGCATTCTCCAGAAAACGTTGCCTTCTGAAGGAAACTTTAATCAGCATATGGCTTCATCTCTTGTATTTTGGTTGTGTTGTCCCAAATTATCCTCTCATTTAATGTATTTCTTATGAGAATAAAATGAATATCAGTCCTAAATTTTTTTTT